TCAGAAACCCAAGGAGGGGTCACTATGAGTCGGGCCCGACTCGACGGCACACAACAACAACAACAGCTCCACTGCATAAAGCAAGAAAGACACCTGGAGGAACACAAGGTCCCAAAATGAAAGCAGCTAGAAAAAAAAATCATTTTAAGATGCTACCTACTTCTTTCTAAAGATTGAAGTATAATGTCATTCAATTGACAGCAGCAACTAGAACGTTTAGATAGGAAACTTAGGGGCAGTGAGTCCATGTTATCGGGAGAGGAACAATTTGGAAAAGGAGGGTGAGAATGGTTGTACAACTCGAAGAATCTCATCAGTGTAACTGCATTGTACCTGGAGAAACTGTTGAATTGGTGTGTGTTCTGCTGTGTACATTCTCAATGACAACAATAACAAATAAAATAAAAATTTTAAAAACCTAACAAAGAGTGGGAAAAAGTTGAAGCATAATTTCCATTCCATAAAATTCACCCATTTTAAGTGTACAGGTTCTTGAATTTTAGTAAATTTATCTATAGTTGTTGAAACATACCATCATCACCAAAACCCTGAAAAGTTTTTTGTATCCTTTTGCATTTAATTACAGTCTCATTCCCAACCCTGGGTAATAACCTAACTGATGTCTATGTCTATAGTTTTGCCTAAAATTCTGAACATTTCATATAAATGGAATAATGCAATATGTGGTCTTTTGTGTTTTGTTTCTTCCATTTAGCATGTTTTTGGAGGTCCATCCATGTGGCTGCATGTATCAACAATTCATTCTTTTTATTAGTAAGCAGTATTCCATTGTGTGGATATATCATAGTTTGTTTATTCATTCACCAGTTGAAGGACAGTTGGGCTGTTTCCACTTTTTGGCTATAATGAATAATGCTGCTATGAACATCCACGTATAAATCTTTGTGTGGATATGTTTTCACTTCACTTGTGGAGACACCTAGAAGTGGAATCACTGGGTCACATGGTAAGTGTATGTTTGACATTTTTAAGAAACTGCCAAACTATTTTCCAAAGTGGTTATATTATTTCATGTATCTACCAGCAGTGTATGAGGGTTCCAATGTCTCCATATCTTTGCCAACACTTGTTATTGTCAATCTTCTTGATCATAGGCATTCTGGTGGGTGTGTACTGGATTCTCATCATAATTTTAACTCACATTTTCCAATAACCTTTTTCTTTTTTATCTGCCATTTGTTTAATTTCTTTGATGAAGTGCTTATTCAAATCTTTTACCCATTTCTTTTTTTGGAGGGTTTTTTGCTCTACTTCCATTTTTGATAGCTCTATCCAACTATAATGAGCTCTGGGGCATAGTGCCTAAGGCATATGATTGCTAACCAGAAGGTCGGTGGTTCAAACCCACCAACCACTCCTTGGAAGGAAGGTTGGGCAATCTATTTCTGTAGTGATACTGCCTTGGAAACCCAAGGAGGAGTCTCTATGAAT